ACTTTAAAAATGATTTGGACTTTAAAATTAAAATTATGAAATAATTTGATTTATTTAATTAATTTGCTAATTTATTTAGAAAAAATAAAATAATTTAATTAATTCAATATAAAAAAAATTATTTAGTTTCGGGTCTTATTTGGTTCTTCGGTTCTTGGTCTAAAATCGAAACCCGACCCAAACCCATCGATTCTCGATTCGGGTATCCGTTCGGATATTTAATTTATGAAAAACCACTCGATTCGATTCGGTTCGGTTCGGGACTTTTGGACATCCCTAGCGTAAACCATAAAATTGTTTTTGAATTTTGATTTTTGCTAGTAATATGTTATCCAAACATTCTACTATTGTGCTCGCTGGAAACCATGCACAGTCGCCGCTAAAAATTCATGTTAAATTAGGTCCCCTGCATTCACGTGAATTGATGCACAGTGAAAATGTCAATAACGTCATAACTGCATTGAATTATTTTTCGTAAATCTATGTTTTGTGCAGTGTTTAGATAGTATATACCGTTTCCGTTTCCAACTCACTTGCATTGGTGGTATTGTGTAACAATTATTGTAGGAGAACAAGGACTACGAGGATTTTAAAGATAAAGATGTCAATGAGATTTACATTCGATATTGTCAACTTTTCGACAATAATTATGATAGTGATAAGTACGCAATGATCCCAACAAAGTTATGTAGAACGGACTTCAATTTGTTCGAGGATAGTGCGGTTGAAGACCACAAGGATGCAATCTCTGTCTATGGGGAGAATATTGGTTCGAGTAATCAGGGAGATGAAGAAAGATGTAAATCAAGCATGAATGTTTCTAATGCTAGAAGCGACCAAAAAAAGGAAGTCGGCGACAACTAGGCAAAAGGGGAAGAAAAAGAACATTTTTACATTTTTGCGCAGGAGTTGTCATTTTCCGTTGACCAGGCAAACGGTGCTGCCGAGAAAGTGGCAAAGATAAATACCATTATGGCGCCGACTGAAAATGCTGGAGTTGCATGTGTCGAAGAGTTGCTTGCAACTGGAAGGCTCGAGCGACGAACCCCTCGTACTTTTATGCTTGTGCGCTTTCTAGCACAAAAGCGCTATCGGAATATGCTCGGCATTATGAGAAATGCAAATGAAAAATTTGAATAGATTGAGTTGCGGTTTAATGAGGGTAACAAATTACTCCATTAGTGACACTACCAGTTCTAGTAATCTTGTGTTTTTTCTTTTTTTTTTTTCTCAAGACAATTGCAGCTTCATGTACCTTTTCCCATTTTTTAAACGATATGTTTCGTTTGATATGTGATTATGTTGTTTACATTTGTTTCAAAAAAATTTAGTTAATTTCTGACCACAAATCATACATGCATGTCAGACAACTTTTGCAAGTAGTGTACATCCTTTTGGGAATCTTTCAGCACTAGCAGAAAAAGTATTAAAAATTTGTAGTCATGTAGCATTTTACTTGAATAGTTGGTACAACTTGCATTGAAAGGTCAATCGAGGAAAACACGTACTAACCTTGTATACTCTTCTATAAATAGTTGCTTGGAACAATGAATAATGATATGTGAAGTTGCTAGGTTAGTAACACAACTTTGTGCTTTTGTTAGAGCAGAAGAAATAATGTTTTTCTTCAATTACACAATGGATGATCTGAACTTCATTGATGTGCTTTTATCGTGCTCCGACGTGGAAGAAGTCGATGATGATGAGTTTTTTAACCAACTGGCGGATGATGTAATGACATAGATTACGTATTGTAGAATCGCACACAGCGACGTGAGGAACTACTATCGCAAAAAGCAGCGTTATAGTCGAAGATTTCATTTTTCCAGAAATGGCCACATGTTTATGAAAGAGGTAATGGAAGAGAACAAATGTATCTGCTATCAAGAGTTCCGAATGTAACCACAACTGTTGTGACATTTTGCATATATTCTGCGCGACGAATGTGGCTTATGTAGTAGCCAGCAGGTAGATATCTACGACCAAGTTGGAATGTTTTTGTGTATATTAGCACATGGGAAAGGATATCGGCAAGTGACAACGATATTCAATCATTCGTTTCAAAGAGGTTCTCTGTGCCGTCGTTGCGTTATCGGCACGTTTCATACAACCGAGTCCGAAATATAACAATGACGAAGAGCCCTACAGGCCGGACCCAAATAAGCATATCTTGTTTCACGATTACATTAGTGCTATTGATGGAACACGTGTGAAAGATGTGCTATCACGTCACGAGCTTGTGAATTTTATAGGCCGGAAATGAGTACTAACGCAAAATGTGTTGGCCACGTGTGATTTTAATTTATGTTTCATGTTTGTGCTTGCTGGCACCACCGAAAATACGCACGACGCTCAAATACTAGCTCGTGCTATATACAGTCCAGAAATACATTTTCCGCTACCAGTGGCGAGTAAGTATTATTTGGTTGACTCCGAATTTTCTCATCGACCGGGATATATGGACTTGTACAAAGGCTCAGATATATTGTACCATTTTCAAGAGTTTCGCGATGAAAGAACAGGTCGTCGTCATTTTCTGAATGCTCGTGAGAGGTTAACTACAGACACTCTTTGTGCAGAATTGTCATTGAATGTGTATTTGGTGTGTGGAAGCAAAGATGACAAATCCTTGACCATATGCCTAGCTACTCATTTCCAACACAAGTTGCAGTTGTCGTCGCAACGATGGGTATTTATAACTTTTTACATCATTTTGGATTTGTGGACGAGGCGTTAATGAGAGCAGAGACGATGACGATGCATCCGAGGTAGAGTTACCTAACGCTGAAGACAAAATGCATGCCGAAATGAATGCACCTGAACTGCAGCGAAGTGAGTGGAACATACTTTGCCATTATATGGCAAAGCAACAATGATGATATAATGTTTTAGGAACGTAAAACATTATATATATATACTAGGTTTAAGCAACGTGCAATGCACCTTTGCTTAGTTTATATATAATTTTTTTGATTAAGAATTAAATTTTTATTAATAAAGATGTAATTTTTTGGTTAATTAAATAACTAATGATGTAATATTTATGTAATTGATATAATTACACATTGTGATTTATTAAAAAAAGAGCAGTAATAGAATCTATAGCATCGTCCTATATATAAATATCGCTCATAGTTTTATGAAAGGTGTTTGAGATAATTTTGATTCTAAGATAACAATTCCGCATTTTCCTCATCTTGCACTGCTTCAATAGAGAGGACATTAAACTGCCTATATTTTTTCTCCTTTA